GGGGTTTTACTGAGGATAGATAGGCCTTAAAAGTCTGAATAGATCTTCTATAGTATTTTTTTATTTGGCAATTATTTTTTTATGTGGAAGAAAATCATGAGTAAAAACAGATGGTTAGGGTCTGGAGCCAAATTTAGATGAATGGTTATAAAATAAAAAAGATGGGGTCAGATTGTGGCGAGCCTTCAATTCTACACTTGGGAGTTGAATGTCACTGGAAATAGGAAACTAGTTAAGAAGAAGAATATGTCTTAAGTAATATTTTAAGAAAGACAAACGAGGTGGATTGGGGAAGAGGGGAGAAGAAAAGAGCCATAATTAGCAGGCTCCTGTCCAGATTTACAGATCAGGGTGAATGTGAACTGAAGTGGTGTTAGTGAGCCTAAGAAAGGAGAAGTGCTAATGATTGACCTGGAGATAGCTCTCAGCAAATAGGCCTCAGTGCCTGCAATAAGGAAATAGGACAGTTGGGCAGAACAGTATAGGGAGATGATTTTGTTTTTGAATGCTTTCAAATGAAAGTATTTGAAGGGCAACAAAGCTGGAAATTTCCAACAAAGAGGTAGAAGTAGAAGTTGAAATGTAGATACAGTTAATCCTCATTTATCATGGATTTCATATCTAATACGCACTCACAAATAGGTAATTGTAACCCCTAAATCAATACTCAGAGCACTGTTGTGATCTTTTTATGTGGACAGGTGAGAACACTAAAGGCACATTCCCAGCGGAAGCTGAACAAAATGACATTCTGCTTTCTTGTTTCAACTCTCATACTGTAAGCAAGGAGAACCTGAGTGGCACAGTGATTAAGCACTTCATTACTAGCCTAAGGGTTGGCAGTTTGAACCCACGCAGAGATGCCTGTGTAGATAGTCCTGGCAGTCTTACTTCTGAAAGGTCACATCCTTGAAAACCCTGTGGAGCAGTTCAACTCTCTACATATGTGGCTGCTATGAGTTGGAATAGACTCCACGGTAATTAATTACGCCACCATAGACAAGTGTTCTTTTTGCAAACTGCTTGTTGTTAAGTGTCATCGAGTCAGTTTTGACTCATAGTGACCCTGTATAAGGTTTCCAAGAAGCAACTTGTGTGTTTGTAGTCCAGTGCTTATCCTGCAGCGCCTCACCAGGAGTATACCCCAAGGTTCTACTTGTTGTTGTTGTTGTGTGCCGTTGAGTCAATTCTGACCATAGCAACCCTGTACAGGGTTTCCAAGGAGCGACTGGTGAGTGTGAATCACCCATCTTGTAGTTCATACTGACTTTGCAGTGCAGCACACTAACCCACAGTGCCATACCAGAACTCCTTAGTAACATGTTTTTTTTGTTTTGCAACTTTTGGTCCTTTTGTTGGTGGGTTCCCATTTAAACTGGACCCTAAGTGTAGTGCTCAAGCAAGCTGTGATGTTTCTTATGAAGAACTTCCTTGTTAGATAAACTTTGTTCCGGCTTAAGTTCTATTTTTCTCTGTGAGTTCAGTGTTAACGAATCAACAATATACACTGCATAAAGTGCTTACAGGAACAGTTGATGTAAATATTGTGCCAGGAGGCTTGTAGGAACTTTATGTCTTTCTCATAGGTGGAAGTTCAATATTGAATTACTCAGTGTTGAAGGCAACTTTATAGAACACAGCTACCACAGATAAGGAGAATAGACTGTGTGTATGATCAATATATCCTTTTCAGCTCCTTAATAACATGACTGTGAGTCTAAGAATAGGAGGTATCAGTGGAGTGATTCTAAGAGCAGAAGAGACGTTAACAAAATAGTTCTATTTACATAAAACATGGTAATAAGTATAGTAAGGTTAACGCTTGACAGTAGAGTCAACATCAGAACTAGGTAAAATGATAAAAATATCATTTATTTATTATATATAGGATACTGTTATAAGCATTTTCTGTGCATTACCTTACTTAATCTTCACCACCACCCTTTGAGAAAGATCCCTTAAATGCTAAATAATTAGCTAGTCAGCTGTTAATTGATGGAAGTAGGGGTTAGGATTTCAACCTGAATCTGGCAGCTCTAAAGCGTATACTTTCCCTACTCTGCCAGGTCTCTTTTAAAACTGCAGAGATGAAATTGCATTTGAATCCATGCATTAATAAAACATTTTAAAAGGAACTGAGATTAATTATTATTGTTATTGCTATTTTAAAATTCTTAACACTTTCTGCCTTTCTCATTCTTGTCCTCATTTCCTTTTTTTCTTTGTTCTGCTTTCTCTTTATTTATTTCCATAGCATTTAGCATTTGAAAGTTGAGAAATTCTTTGTATAATGCCTTAAGTTTCCTTGACAGCAACACACACTATAAATCTTAATAATAAATCTATAAATCTGAGATTCTGGGAGTTGGATTGATTCAGTTACTGAAATGACTACATTGGCATGCTGTAAGGTTTGCTTATAATAAGTACATAGCAGCACATTTCCAGTAAGACTGTTGATGTACTATGAAATGGAAACGCTTTCACTATAGTTATCTAAGAAGTATTGCTTTGTTGCTATATTCAACCTAGAAACATTTTAGAAGTGAAAAAAAAATGTGTAAGAGTTAATTGAGAGGACTCTTGAATGTTGAGGAAGCAGTGTGCAAAATGATGTGACGGAGGTGCAGAGGAAATGGACAGCTCTCCATGGGCAATACAGACCAGTTGGAGAACCAGCATGCCCACAAAAACTATTGGCTGTTAAAAAGGCATAATATAATTGACAGTAGTACCAGTTGAGCCCACAACTGCTGCAGGAATTGCTGAAAACTTCTGGAAAAGTTTGATCCTTGGCCATGAAGAAGATGCCAGAACTGTTTTTGATGAGGAACATAAGCAAAGCTCATGGACAGTCATATATTAAATACGTTGACTTGGCTGAAGTTTGAAGGAGCAGTGATAGTTAGGGTAAATGAAATAGAGGTTTTAGTTGTGTCCTTTTGCTTTTTGTTTGTTCTTTTACAAAGTTGAATGACCCTACCAGTATATTGGAAACAACATTATCATTGTATGGCTCTTGTCTGAAATATTAAAGTCTTTTGACTTTTTATGTGATAAGGAATTAACCATATTTTTATGCACATTGCACATGCATCATATGTATATGGGTGTGTGCACATGTGTGCCTATATAGGAGTCCTGGTGTGGTGCTGTAGGATAAGCACTGGACTGTACGTGCTTTGCTTGTTATATGGGTTGGTGTCTTATTTGAGAAATGGTAAATTTACTTTGATAGAGACTGAAAGTGACCAATGGGAAGAAGACATGAAGACACTTACCTTAAAACAAAACAAAATGGTTTAGCTGTCTGTAAATAAAATGCCAACTTTGCAACTTGGTCACTAGAGTGACTTAATTAGATATTAGACCTCTTTTGGCAGAGTTGCTCTAAGGTAACTGTCTGCTGATTTGGAGGTTGTGTTAACATTACTTTCAACTTAAACTTCTAAGTTGAAGACCAGAAAAGAAACTGATATTCAGTTCTTAGCTAGAAGGCTATGCCAAATTACAGATAATGTAGGTGATATAATAAGATTCATGCCAAGGGGAAATATAGGAAACATTGCTAGGAAATAATTGGCAGGAATTGTGGAAAGGAGGCCATCTTGTGGAAGAAGCTGAGAGTTGTTGTTAGGTGCCATCAAGTTGGTACCGACTCATAGCGACCCTATGCACAGCAGAACGAAACACTGCCTGATCCTGGGCCAACCTCACTATTGTTGGCACGCTTGAGTGTGCATCGATGCTGCCACCTGGCCAGTCCATCTCATTGGAGGTCTTCCTCTTTTTCTCTGACCCTCCACCCTACCAAACATGATATCCTAAACTGAGGTTAGTGGATCTGAATTTTAGGTCTGGTGTAGCTCATGCATCATTGAAAAGTGATAATTAAGCCTTTTTACCACACTGAGGTTATATGTAGTTTGAACATTGTATTAGGTAATCTTGATGATTCCTCTTATAAATTAGTGTGGGACATGAAGTTTTCATCATACTTAGTCAGTTTTCTGTCCAAATATACATTTACTTAAGAGTTTAATTACTTTACTAATAAAGGATCTCAGTAGGGCAGAGCAGGAATTTAAATGTAAAGTTATCTTTGTTCAGAAAGTACCACAGTTGAATTCATGAGGAAGAGAAAGAAGAAAAAAGAATCCTGGATCTAACTAGCAAAGTGTTACCAGTAAAGAGAATTGTCAATAGGCATTTATTATGTGTACGACCATGAATGTCGTGCCTCAGGATAGTTCATTGTAACTGATGACAGGCTTGTGAAAACTTCAGGATGCTGCCAATCTATAAAAAGTGATGTTTCAGAAAGATGCCACAGACTGACAGTCAACGAAATCATAGCATGTATGCTGCTGCTTTTACATTTACCCGTTTTTATGCTTTTTCTGTGAGTTTTGTTTGTGTCTTTTTAAATATCCTCTGTGTTAGACTGACATGAGAGGGGCTTCAAAAAACTCATGGAAAAATGTTATTAAAAGTAGTGGATTTTTCCCACTAACATTTTGAAACCCTCTTGCATATACTCAGTTTAGACTAATTTCTCATTTGTGAGTGTCTAAGAAGGCCAGTGATCATACACTGAGGAGGTGTCGCTGAGGAGGGTTATTTGTGGGGAGTTTTGCTCTTGCTTGACTTGTAACTTTCATTAATTGGTTGTCTTGAGCGTCACATTGTAGATGGTGGAGAAATTAAGAGTACCTTCAACACATCTTACAATTCATGAGACATGCCTCAACTATTTTCATGTCTTGGCAAAAAATACATAGCAAATCCCAAGCAAATAAAAAAAAAATACATAGTGCTTTGCAAGTGATTTGGTCTGGAAATTTAAGGAACATTCATGTTTCTGTCCTATGGGGTTTCTCTATGATCATAGGTGTAACTTTGCTTAGAGTTTACCCAAGGAATTTTTGAGGTTTCTTAACTTTTCCCTACCCAAGGCAATAAGCTGTTGTTTCTAATTTGAAATTTTTTTCTAATTTTAGGCTTTGACAAAATTCTTGAAATGTGTTAACTGGGATCTACCTCAAGAGGCCAAACAGGCATTGGAACTTCTGGGAAAATGGAAACCAATGGATGTAGAAGATTCTCTGGAACTGTTATCCTCTCATTACACCAATACAACAGTGAGGCGTTACGCTGTTGCCAGGTTGCGGCAGGCAGATGATGAGGTGCATTATTATTTCTCTTCTCTTGACTGGATGAATTTTAAACTAGAGTCTGATTATAAGACCCTGAGTGTTTGTGTGTGTGTTTGTGTGTGAGGGAGAGACAAAGATTTCTGAGTTATCTAGTGTTGCTTCATAACCACAAGTGGATGCCTGTAACAAACAGAAATGCCTTTTCTCATAATATAGGAGGCTAGACTTTGGATTCTCAGCTTTGACTTTAGCGGAACACATTCTGTCTGGAGGCTCTAGGGGAAATCTATGTCACTTTAGCTTCAGTTTCCTTGGAGAGCTCCATGTATCTTGCCATGTGTTTTACCCCATCTCCCTTCTGTTTGCTTATTTGACTTTTTATATATCAAATGAGATCAACTCAAGATACCTCTGATGACGTGAATCCTGCCTCATTAACGTGATGAAGAAAACACAGTGACAAATGGTATGTTGTTAGGTGCCATCGAGTTGATACCGACTCATAGTGACCCTATGCACAGCAGAAAGAAACACTTGCCTGATCCTGGGCCAACCTCACTGCTGTTGCCACGCTTGAGTCCATCGATGCT